CCCTCCCTCCCTCCCTCCCTCCCTCCCTTCCTTCCTTCCTTCCTTCCTTCCTTCCTTCCTTCCTTCCTTCCTTCCTTTCTTCTCCTCTAAGTCACAAACATTTCCAGAGCATCTGGGACACTGTGCTAAGCTCTATCAACAGGGATATAAAGACACATAATCCATGGTTCTAGCCCTTAGGAAAGTCTAGTGGGAGGTTTTCTTATTACTCAATGGTGAGGAAAACTTTAAGTGCCCCCCACATCCCTCTGAAAGCTTGGGGCAGGGGAGATAAACCATCTGTGAGAAGGAAACATGAATAAGAAAATTCACCCCAATTTGAACTTGAAGTCCCCTTCCACTCATCAAGCTCCAAGTTACTTTCTCCTGGGGGAAGAGTAATTTCTTGAGTGATGTTCAACTTGTGCACACCCATGGAAAGAATACTCCTGGGCCACGTCATCCAACTCAGTGCCGGACAGAGAGAAGTTGCTCAGAGGACGGTAACTCACAACCATCCTTTCTACACCTTCGCTTGACAGCAACTCGTTCGCGGTGTTACATGGTACCTCATCTCTCTCTTTCTGCCCCTGCAAAATCCTTGTGGACAGGGACCAGGTGTGCTGAATTGATGAACCTGAGATAGCATTGTCCCCTTTCTATGAGGTTCACTGGACTTTCACAGAAGGATGTCTTTCAGTTTTTGCCAACTGCTTTCTTGAGATTCCGTTATGTCTCCGACAGGCAGAGCGGCCAAATGAAGAAGGAGGGGGCCGGGCTGGGATGTGGTCGGGGGTAGAGTTGGGGCCTCTGGGTTTTTCAGGCACCCACTGAGAAATGTTAATCCATTGGACGATCTGAAGAGTGACCTGTGATAATCCTTGTTCTTGTTAGAACACACCACAGCCTTCAGCACCGGGACGCAAGGACCAGACTAAGCCCGAGGAAGCCGGCAGCCCAGCGGGGGCAGTTTCAATCTCCATCCCAGATGCAGGTGAGAGAAGGAGGGAGGCCTGAAAGAATGGCTGTGGGAAGGAGACCCTCCATCCAGCGACAGGGCTCATGGGAGCACACACAGAGGACCATGCCTTCCCCTGCACAGAAGTCTCTCCCTCCCCAGAGCCTCAAAAAAATTTGAACCTTCCTCCCCCTTCAGCTTTTTGAAAAGTGTGTGGAGAAGGCACTTGCTACAGAAGAATTCTCAAGGCTTGCTTTTTTTTTTTTGTTAGTTTACATACAGTGAGGGCTTTCTTTGAACAGAGGGCTGCTGGGGATTATGTACATGCTTATAGAACAGTGTCTGGTTTTTTTGGGGGGGGGGGGACAGACAGAGAGGGAGAAGAATCCCAGGCAGGCTCCATGCTGTCAGCGCAGAGCCTGACTCAGGCTCAAACTCACAAACCATGAGATGGTGACCTGAGCCGAAATCAAGAGTCAGACCTGCGGCGCCTGGGTGGCTCAGTTGGTTAAGCATCTGACTCTTGGTTTCAGCTCAGGTCATGATCTCATGGTTTGTGGGTTTGAGCCCCACATCCGACTCCGTGTTGACAGTGCAGAGCTTGCTTGACATTCTCTCTCCCTCTCTCTCTGACCCTCCCCCACTCTCTCTCAAAAATAAATAAATAAATAAACTTAAAAAAAAAAAAAGAGTCGACGCTTAACCAGCTGATCCACCCCAGCGCCCCCTATGGGACAGTGTCTATTAAATGAAGAGTTCAGGATGTGGCCGAGGCCAGAGATTTAGGATTAAAGGGTTAGTATCCAGGTCTAGTTGAAGATCAACCAGAGTTTAAGGAAAAACTATAAAGGAAATGTTTTCTCAGTCCTCCTGGAGGGAGACACCCATGTGAAGGGGTGAAGGGCAAGAGGGAGGAAGCAGTAACCACAGAGTGGAAGCCCCAGATCATAGGGGACCAAACAGGGGCTGTTGGCTCAGTCCAGGTCATAACCATGATTTGGGTCTGCACAACAATTAAACTTTTTTTTTTTAAGTTGATTTATTTATTTTGAGAGAGAGTGAGCAAGCGTAAGCTGGGGAGGGGCAGAGGGAGAGAGGGAGAGAGAGAGAATCCCAAGCAGGCTCTGCACTGTCAGCACGGAGCCCAAAGCAGGGCTTGGACCAACGAATTGCAAGATCAAGACCTGAGCTGAAACCAAGAGCCTGAAACAATCAACCGACTGAGCCACCCAGACCCTCCACTTCCCATGTCTTGTTGTCTGTGTGGTTGGGGGCACATCCCCCTCCCTTCCCAGGCCCTTGGTGGACACCCCTCTCTCCTTACAAGCTCGCAAATGGCAGAATTTCCCAGCGGCCTGGCCTGGGGTCTTATTTTACTGACTCTAGACTCTCTCTGGGTCACCTCGTGGGGCCTCTGATTCAAGCCTGCTCTTCTGAGCGCCAGGCCTGCCGTCTCAGATGTCATTGCTTACTGCCGTCGCCTCCTAAGTGGTCTGCCTGTCACAGATCTGTTCCTCCGTGGCTGGACTGAGCTTTAAGTAGAGGCCAGTCTAATATCTTTCACTCCGGCCGAGCAAAGTGCTCACTGATGTCCAAGGTCACTGTGCCGGTCTTGCCATTGTGTGTTCACGATGCTCTAACACACCCCTTCCACTTCCTGTTTTTTCTGGGCATTTGAGTCACGAACCCAGGCGCACCTGAGCCTCTGAGTCTGGGCTCCGTGTCCCTTCTGTGTGTTCTCCCGCGGTGTCTGGGCACCCCTGTTTCGGCTCCCACAGTATGCGGCTTCCTCCAGCCTTCACATCCAGTGGGGACCCAGAGGGTCCCCGGCATGGTGTGCCAGGTGCATAAAAGAGATGATGGCAAGAGCTTTGGGCTGGCTCTCCAGCCGCACGTGGCTGGATAGTCCTCTCTGGCCCTTTGGGGAGCGAATTCTAGCTTCTCACGGTGTTTGCCTTCCCATGCAGCACTTTTTTGCTTATACGATGTACTTCATCGATATTTATGAAGTGTCTTAATATCTAAAAGTGTTTGGGATTTGACCCCCCTCCTCAAAGGACTTGTTGAACTCTCATGCATAATATCTATTCAGTTCAATAAGCATTTATTGAGAGTCGGCTCTAAAGGAGGCAGAATTAAAGCAGCCGAGAAAAGGGATTCAGATAAAGTCTGTGCAGCTTAGAGGAGCTTGCTGTGGCTTTTTGTCTTCACGCACCTTGGTCTAAACTAGAGGTGAGAGATGACAGTTTTATTTGCTGGGGACTCATCGACAGACCATGTCTCAGCTCAGGCTTTCCCCTGGTCATGTTTCCTTAGAAACTAACTTCCAGAGATTCCTGGGTGTCTCAGTCTGTTGGGCATCTGACTCTTGATCTCAGCTCGAGTCTTGATCTCAGGGTCATGAGTTTAAGCCCCGCATTGGGCTCCATGTTGAGGGTGAAGCCTACTTAAAAAAAAAAAAAAATTAATGTTTTATTTATTTCTGAGAGAGAGAGAGAGACAGTGTGAGCAGGGGAGGGTCAGAGAGAGAGGGAGATATAGAATCTGAAACAGACGCCAGGTTCTGAGCTGTCAGCACAGAGCCCAATATGGGGCTCGAACCCACGAACTGTGAGATCATGACCTGAGCCGAAGTCAGATGCTTTACCAACTGAGCCACCCAGGCGTCCCAAGCCTACTTTAAAACAAAAAAAGAGGGTGGTGGTGGAAAGGAACCAGCTTCTACATCCCCCACTTTTCGTGGACTTTGAAGCTGAGTTTCGTGTCAACCTGACTTCACTAGGATGCCGGAAATGAACCTTTCCTGTCCCTGCCAGGAGCCTCCAGAGCTTTCTAAATCAACTTCTCTGAAGGATTCTGCCATTTCCTTAATAGTTAGAAACACGTTTGAATAACACACAACTTGCGTTTGCTTCCTGGTGGCAACACGGCTGTCAGCTGTTGTCATAAAGTCATTTTGGTAAGTAAGCAGATCAGTGGGCTTGATCGGAAACCTACTGCCGCACTTGGAGATAAGTCTGCGGGGTCTGGACCAGCGGGGCTTTGCAGTAGAGCCATCACATTGGTGACACGGTGTCCTAAATGCTCAAGTGGAAGCCTGGGAAGTTGGCCACGATGTCACAGGTCCCACTGTGGGGCACCAGGAGCTGTGTAGTTCTGCTCTGGGACTGCACTGCTTAGATTCAAATCCTGTTCCTGCCCAAACTCTGGGCTTGGGGAGTCCCAGTGTCCTCATTTGTGAAATCCTTTTTGGGATGATTGGGCGACTCCCCTTACGTGGTGACCATGTGGATTGAGCCCCTTAGTCCCTGTATGGTGCTTAGACACACAGGGAGTGTGAGCTGTTGCTATTATGTCCCTTCACCAGCCTCACCTGGGACTGGTCACCGAGGACACATGCTCTTGGTCAACAAGGCTGTCATCAGCTCGCCCCCAGCATTTGTGCACCTCATTGTCCCTGTCCCTTTGCTCACTCTGCTTCTCTGAGCATCTTATTCCAGTCTTGTCCTCCTTTGTATTGTCCTTTCTGCCTTCAACGAGTTTCTGTTTTGCCCACCCCCTCCCGCAGTGCCCCCCCCCCCAATTCCAAAGCCTCTGGATGGAATGGATGCAGATATTCCTGTACCCACGGCTAACCGTGCGACAACTCTAGGGTAGTTTTTCATTTGCCTTTGTGCTTATAAATCTGATAGAGTCCTTGCCAGTGGACCAAACACTGAGGTCACCATCTATTTTTAATTTTTAAAATTTTTTTTTAAAGTTTATTTATTTATGAGAGAGAGAAACAGCATGAGTAGGGGAGGGGCAGAGAGAGAAGGAGACACAGAATCTGAAGCAGGCTTCAGCTCCAAGCTGTCAGCACAGAGCCCGATGCAGGGCTTGAACCTACAGACTGAGAACATGACTTGAGCTGAAGTTGGATGCCCAACTGACTGAGCCACCCAGGCACCCCTATCATCTGTTTTTTAAAAGTTGTAAAATATACATAACATTCAGTTTACCATTTTAACCATTTCAGGTGTCCGGTTCAGGGGCATTAAGTACATTCACGGCAGCCCTCACCGCTACTGTCTCCAGAACATTTTCATCTTCCCCAACAGGAGCCCTGTAGCTGCTAAACACTTCCCCTCCCCTCCTCTCCCACCAATCCCTGGCAATGACCATTTTCTTTTCTTTTCTTTTCGTTTCGTTTCGTTTCTTTTCTTTTCTTTTCTTTTCTTTTCTTTTCTTTCCCCCTCCCCTCCCCTTCCGTTCTTTTATCTACTCTATTTATTAATTTGGAGAGAGAGACAGAGTGTGTGAGGAGGGGAGGGTTAGAGAGAGAGGGAGAGAGAATCCCAAGCAGGCTCCACACTCCGTGCAGAGCCCGATGCAGGGTTTGATCCCACGAACCATGAGATCATGACCTGAGCTGAAATCAAGAGTCGGACGCTTAACTAACTGAGCCCCCTTTGGACTTCACCTTGGACTCCCCTTGCATATAGTCAATTAGCAATTCCCATTAGCTCCATTTTCCAGATGCAGAATCTAGTCACCTCTCCATATCTCCACCCTCACCATCCTGGTCGAGGCCGCCAGGTCTCTCCTCTGGAGTATGGCACTTGTTTCCAATCTGCTCTCCCTGTTTCTGCCCTGGGAACCCTCTGCTCTCTTCTTAGCCCAGCAGCAGGTTCAAACCTTTTAAAACACGAGTCAAATAATGTCATTCTTCGCTCATGACCTCCCCTTGCTCCCCATCTGACTCGAGGCTGATCTCCAGGGCTCGTAAATGTCTGTTGGCCCTCACTGCTCTTCTGACCTCATCTCTCATCTTCTATTGAGCTCTGGCCACAAGAGTCTCCTTGATCTTCCACCTCAGGTCTCCTGCATTTTCTGTGAACTATGCCTGGAACGTTCTTCCCTTGATAAACTCTTTGCCCTCCAGTGTCACTTGACCAGAGAGACCTTCTCTGATACATAAAGTAACAAGCCCTCCTTCCCCTGACCTCAGGCATCGCCATTTACCCATTACCATATCGGTCTCTGACATAGATTAA